GTTTCTCCTAGTCCATTATCAATCAAAACTATTTGCCTAGGGCTGCTCTGCCAAAGCTTAAAGTCTAAGCCGAGCTTAAAGGCGGCCTCACGATAGGTAGTTTAATCTCAACTGGAGAGTTTAAAAGCCCGTTTTGGCTTTACGCGACACTTACCATATCACGAGAAAACGCGATACAATTTTTTAATAAAACGAATATCTCTGCTTCGTTGTGTTAATTATCAATTTTAGAAGATCGAACGTGTGTGAAATATACAATAAGAAGAATAAAAATATCGTAGGGAATAATAAAATTAAATTATTCGATTAAAATCGAATAAAAGTAGTTAGTGGAATCAATTCGAATTTTAATTACCGTAATCATCGATAAAAGAAATCGATAAATGTTAACGATTAACAAACGGGGGAAAAGGAGGAAGACTATCTAGTGGAGCACTCGAAGCAGGAGCAGGTAGTTGTAAGACAGAAGGATGAACACTCGCAAATATAGAGCAAGGGTACTTGGGACGAGAAGAGAAAAGCAGTGGGTTCGTCGAGTGCGCGACACTTTCTACAAAGGTGAAAATCTATACGGACCACGGGAAAATCGATGCTACATGGGAGAGAGAGAGAGAGAGAGCTATCGCGCAAAAAAAAGCTATACTGAACGTCTACCGATCAAAGCCGATCGAGTTCTTTTAAACGAAGCGAAACCCTTTTCTTCCGATTTATGTTCGAGATACTGGAAACTGCATCGGCCTCGTTTTCCTTTTTAAAGGAAATTTTATTTTCGGCGCGGTCCCCCTTGTTTAAATGAAATATAAATAAACCAAAAAAAATATAATATTTAATTAACCAAAAACCAAAATATTTACTCTTCGAACGAAAACTACGATCCTTGATGATAGGCATAGCTCTCTCGATCGAAAATTACTTCCTCTAAATATTTTTTATACATATTATAAACATATCAGAGAGCAACATTTAATCTTTTAACGCGACGAAAGCTACGTAGATCTAGATCGAAAATTTTTCGCACAATTCGATACCGCGTATATAAAATATCATAGAGCAACATTTGCTATTCAACGCAACGAAAGCTACAATCCTTGATGATACGATCGAAAATTATTTTTTCTAAATATTTTTTACATACATTATAAACATATCAGAGACTATTCAACGCAACGAAAGCTATCTTGATGATCTTTGATGATAGACTCGATAAATCTCGATCGAAAATTTTTCGCACAACTCGAACCGCGTATTGAGAAAAATATCATAGGGCAAGGTTTGCTGTTCGACGCAACGAAAGCTACAATCCTTGATGATAGGCTCTCGATCGAAAATTATTTTTTCTAAATATTTTTTACATACATTATAAACATATCAGAGACTACATTTGCTATTCAACGCAACGAAAGCTACGATCTTTGATGATAGACTCGATAAATCTCGATCGAAAATTTTTCGCACAACTCGAACCGCGTATTGAGAAAAATATCAGAGGGCAAGGTTTGCTGTTCGACGCAACGAAAAGCTTTGATCGTTGGTAAAGAAACGATAACAAGAGATACGAGTAATTATGATAGGCGTAGGTCTCGATCGACGTTATATGAACATTGATCGATCGCACATGACCGCGAAATCAATGCGGTACGGCTGTTCGTCCGAGCTAATTTGACTGTCGTAATTAGCTTCGTTTATCGGTCCGTGTCACGTTCGTCGTGTACTGGCCGCGGCAACGCGGTAATCTTCCTGCTGCCGCTGGAGCAAACAATTAACGTTGTTCCGCTAACTTTGCCGTGATTACAGCAATTTTCGCATGACAGCTCGCTCGTTTACCGAGGCCTCTACCAACTCCGCTATAATTTCACACCACGAAAATATACGACCGTTGCTGGATACAGTTTTCCTTTCGACTCGAGGAAAACTATTTTCCCCGCTCTATGAAAAGACGGTTTCGGGATTGGATTTGTTGTCATCGGTCGGGCAACAATATTACCAATTAATGTATTTCAAGCGATAAATTTTTTTCATTTCGTTTTTCTTGAAAATGGACGAGCGTTTATTGAAAAAAAAAAAAAACAATAATTAATCCATCATTGATGTAACGTCAGGTTTGCGTTTTCACGAGAATAATAAAAAACATGGACGAGGCGAATATCTCTGTTTACGCACGCGAAAACGATATATCATGTCTTTCGAAATCCACGTGTCGTCGTTCTCCATGAACTCTAATTGAAATCTAATACCGCGCAGATTTGTTTCGTTCGAATTCGTGACAAATAAATTTCAAGGGACGATCGAGTGGTGGAGCGTGAGAGTGAGAAAAATTTAATCGAATTTAAAACCGTGATAGAATTTAAAAAAAAAAAAAAAGCGAGTAAAAGGCAAAAGGGTATGAGACGAAAATCAAATGTGTATGTTATGTTTATAAAAAATCTCGTGTCGGTTAATGAATAACTCTTCGAATAATGGAATATTTTATTATTTCCCTTGTTATCCCGGGAACGAAAATGATAAGCTTTGCGCGGAATTTCGGTGGGTTGGAAGGCTTTGTGAACACGTAAAATGTATAAGGAAAGCCGGAGGAAACAGACGAAAGTTTATTAAAGCCAGGAAAAGAGAGAATCCTCGAGATGAGGGTTGAAATTAACAAAATAACTGGTACAAAGGAAAGTAAACCGAGTGATATACGTATGACCGATTGAACAGTTAATAACTGGGAGAAATGAAAGGAAGGAATCGAGTTCAACATGAAACGGAGATTATTTGCGCCAACCCTCGATAACAATAGTCATTCAACGTAGAAAAATATTCTGAGCTTAATTTAATTTTGTATTCTAACTCGTTGCTTTATTAAATTCGTCTTATTGCGCTTATCTTTAAGTTAATGTCAATTATACTTTGAAACAGCAAAAAATATTTTAATAACAAATGCGAGGTTCTTTCAAAATTCTGTTTAAATCGATATTAAAATCATTGAAATATCGATCTACGCTTAATATTTAACGACGAAACTTTACAATATATATTTGGTATACAATAATAGAATGCATGTAAAATGCAGACGAAAGACGACCGATAATACCAAAAAAAAAAAAAAAGATTATCATCACATTGATGTCTTCAAAGTAATCCCTATTTATTTTGCATAATGTTTCATGGTTGCAAATGGTCGAGAAACGTAAAATTAACACGAAATTTTACCACCGGTTACGCCGACTAAATGCATCTAAAGTAAGCACTAAATGCTCTAGAAAGAAGTAAAGTGCAACTTTGGGTAATGCTTATGCAACATTAATATTCAAGACTCGCATTAGAGTCACCTACTAAATTGCATTCTTTTTGCTTCCTCTTATTGCGTTCTAGTCCAATCTTCTTTTTTATTCTTGAATCGATAATCGTATTAATAAATCAAAATTACCTATTTTAAGTTTACTCAAAGTACTAAGAGATAGTAATCCCTTTTCGATAAGAGATTCTGCTCTGCTGAAACTTCGAATCTCCCTCTATGAAATTTTTAATCAGATTAAAATATATTGAAAATTTATAAATTATAAATCTTGTTGATATTAATACGAGATAAGAATTAATAAATATAATTGTTACAGAAAATATATATGTTCAAATTTCTAACAATGAAATTTGTAATAAATCAATCCTCTTGTAACTGTAGTAATGTGTTCATTCACAGAAATATACGTATACATAATTCTTTCGTTCAAATAATTATAAACCATGCAGAATTAAAAATTAAAATTCCACATTGTTAACATTCAATAAGCAACATAACAATGAGTTTCAGCAATTATAATGGTTACACAGTCGTAAAAGCGATGTAGTAACGACTGAACAAACGTGCAACTGATCGATATACATTGCACGCAACCAGTTCAATGAAGAAGTCAAAGTTCTTTTAAACTAAAAACCTATTTTGAAATGGCAAATACATAGTAAATTTTATTTTGTTATTCTTTTAAACTAAATTTTTTTTTTATTAATATATATGTTCATGATAATATGATGTTACATATGATTTTACATATTCGGAATAATTATATTTTATAATGAATCAACAAAGTAAAACGTTTTTTCAATATTTTTCTAATCGATGAAACAAAATAATTTTTTACGTGTTAAATAATGTTAATAATTTTTGATTTGATAATAAGTTTGCAAAGAATATATATCATATATCATATATATATAGTATAGTTTCATATACAGTGAATAGTTTCTTGTCACGTGGTTTTCGTCATAGGTTAGAAACAACAAAAATAATCGCTAAATATAATACGAAAAAAATAATTTTGCACGAAATGAATAAATTTCTTGAAATTAAATTTAATTTGATCGAATTAAAATTGTTTACACGAAAAAATTTAGATTCGATGAAAATATATATTGTCATTAAAACTAAATAAATTCAAAATAATACGAAACTCGACATATTTTTTCAATTGTACTACTTTAATTAAAGTTCGAGAATAATTTAACTTCTTTTTTGTTGTCTATGAGCATCCGCAACTTTCTAATCTAAACTTTCCACGATGAGCGTATTGTTTGCATTAATTACCAAGTAATATTTCAGAATGGTTATGTTCAAGAGCAAAGTGGTCGGTGCTGAACAAATTGAATCTGACGCAATACCTTTTAACGGAGAAAAAGGTTTCAATTATTAAAACTCAATTTGTATTAAATTTTTTAATACGATTATTTAAAACGAATTAATGATAAAAAAATTAAAATAAAATTAAAAATGCATTAACGACAATAATAATATTAGTTCGAATATGTTCTATTGTCATAAAACGTGAGTGAAGTTTTCAATAAATCGCAACATCTTCGGAAAACAATTTCCGAAGCGCATGACACGAAACGTTCAAATCACATTTCGATTCTAAAACAATAGTAATTCCGTCTATACCGATTCATATGGTACGCGTAAATTAATAATTATCGACGGTGAAAACAGCAAAGAAGAAAGAAAGAGAAAAGTATAGACAGGTACTTACATTTTTTATTTATCTCGCCGACGATGCCTCGCGACAACAAGCCGAAAAGGATGGCGATGGTTAGAAAAAGCATAGATTTTCTCGTCCCTGGTGCGTCCCAGCACCAGGGCGAGCCTCGTGACATCACGGACATATCACTCTCTCTCAACGAGACTCCATACCGGCTTCCGCGAAACTTCCGCGCGTAACCACCGTGAACATAACCTTATACATCAAAGTCACTCGCGGCGAACAGGTTCGTATGATCGGCTTTCAATCGAAGCACGATCCAAATATAGAAAACTGACCGGTATTTATACGAAGAAACGCGCGAAATTGACACACACAACCGACTTGAATCTCGTTGACGAGCTACCGGCATCGGTGCTCGTCACTCGGACGCACGTACGCTATTGACATCGGGGAATACTCGCCGGATACTCTACTCACGGTGGCGGCCAGGTTGCGACGATCACCGACGTAGGTGTTCGCGCACTCTCATGCGCGCTATCGATCCGACAAACCCCGCCAAACCCCACGTCGCGTACACTCACCACCGTCCTCCACGAAGACGCCATATTTGTGTACATGCGCCTTGAGGACCCGGAAGTGCGCTCCTTACCAAGCGATTTCTTCGTTACTCGTTCGAAAGTTCGTCGATCTTTCGATTTCTTCTACGATGTTTGACCTCTCGCGTCGGAATCTCGCGTCTTGTACAATCGTCGTTTCGATGTATCGATCGTGTACTCATCACGTGACCTACTATCGACTTTACTATGCGACCGCATCTTTAAAAGCATATCATTGCTAAAAATGGATTTATCGTGTGATTTCTTTAAGTGTTTTAATGAATTCATTGAATATACATACGTGTTAAATGAAGTTGGAGTATTTATTTCTTATTTATCATAATTTATTTTATTTGTTTGATTTAAACTTTTACATTTATTTGCATTTTAAATAATCTTTAAAATTGTGGAATGGCGATAAAGTTTAATAAACAATTTCATTATTGTAAAATAAAACATAGTCACATTTCAACCTTCATGAAAATGAATTTCTATACTGTGCCAAAAAACAGGTATGATATTTTTAATGAGATTATTATTATTTATTTATTTATTTATTTATTTATTTACGAATCTAAATAACAAAGACAAACAATTATATGATTTTTTTTTAATTTTAATTTTATTATTTATGCAACATATAAATTTTACATTTAATTATATTTTCTGTAATAATGAAAGAAATAGTTTATAACCTAAAAATATTTTAGGAAAAGAAAAAAAGATATTAATTTTTAAAATTACATAATAATAATAAGAAAATTCCATTGCATTTTTGACGTGAGTTATTGATAAATAATATCAATGTTTACGATTCTTTTATACATATAATTATGTTGGAATTTAATAAATAAAATACAGCTGCATCTATAAACTAGTATCGTTCATATTAAATTAAATTCTTCTGATATCTATATTAGAGACTCAATTATTGTACTTAAATGAAAATTTATAATTTTGTTTTCAAACTTTATTATAGTTTTCGTTATTAAAATCTTATTATATATAATATTAAACTAACAAATTTTAAATTACAATTAAAATTAAAAATGAAAATTTAAATAAAAATTAATCTAATTAATATTTATATTTTCATTTCAGATACAATATTAAACTATGATTGATATCTTTATTTTTTAAAAAGATGAAAATGATATATAAATAATTACGCGTTTCATGGATTACATTTCACGCCAAAGAATAATAACTTGTTTATTCAAAACCGCGAAATGCAGTCACGCAGTTTCATACTTCGCTGCATGAATCACGATTGATTTAATTTAATATCGTTATCATTTAGAAGATAATCGGTTCGATTATCGGTACTTCAAGGTCACTCTATCACAATTTTATTAAGGTCAATCATCTATAGGATGGTTCTCGAAATAATAAATTCGGCTTTGAAAATAAATTAATCGAATAATGACTATAAAAAAAATAGATACTTTAATTATTCGTGAATCGTAAAATTGATCGATATGGTATTCGATTAAATATTTATCATAATAATATAATTTTCAAGTCAATTTTATTTACTTTTGTATTACTTTTATGATACACGTAATCCTTTAATTTATACGCATTTTCTAAACTTTAGTAATTTAGAAAATTCAGCAATTTTTTGTATTCTTGTCTTGTATGTAGTAAAGTATACACAATACGTTCAAATAGATCTTCATGCATCGTGAGAACTACAAGAGAACTATAATTCAATGATCAAATCTTGTAAATCACCCGTTATATCTGATTGCAGTGATCGAACACCGATAACATTATCGCGCATGCAATTATTTTTTATCCGTGATCAAGGCTTTTTGACGTCACACTTATGAATATTCGCCCTAAATACGGTATTAAAATTCAAATTTTTAGCGGAACGATACCATTATGGAAATGGGTCAACCTTTGACCGAAAAAATCCCTCAGAAAAAATGAAAATCAGCATGTAGTCTCGAATACCCGTTTGTTTCCAATTATATCTACGGTGGTGAATCGTACCCCTAGACCACAAGCTGACTATTAGAAAACGGTTAAATCAGAAAGACAATCTACCTCGAACGCGTTATCTTGCGTGGCTCACATGATGGCGGATTTATACGACTCCATATTGCCCGGCGTATTTCACTAAAGTTTCGACTTCTATGCGGTGTGAAGTGGTGTATTTGCATAATTGTGCTTTTAATCTCAAAGAGAAATATGTGTTTTCATATAAAATGAAAATTAAATAGCGCGAGAATATTTGAATTTGGTTAAAGAAATTATTTTATGTGAGAGTTAATATTTTCGAAAGAATATCGCAATTTATATAGATATTGTGACGAATTAAAATTAATGGCATTATCGTAATTATTAATGAATATGTGTTTGATTAACAATGAAATTAACAACTAATTAGTGTATTGGAGTAATTTGTAAAATACGTGATATTAGTGCTATAATCAAGTGAAAACCGAATTGTGGTACAATCTACTATGGTACGTACAAAAATGTGAAATTAATTTTATAGAAATATTAATATTTTAAGATCAATTTTTAACTTTTTATGTATTCCTTCATTTTAGATACTCTTATATCTCGTTACGTAATCACGATTATATTAATTAGCAACGCTTATACGTAAACTTCTATATAAAACAATCTACATATCTATATTTATATATATTATATAAATTATTAATTTTTTCTCTAAAAGTATATTAATTTCGTTTATGAAACTCGATATTATTACGTAAAAGAGAATATCTTTTGATCATTGTGGCTAGTTCTATACCTGATCGGTATTCACTATAATTTCCTTCAGTTAATCACATTGTTTATTATAAAATTACCGTCACGATAAAATTACGAAACACGAGAATTTATTGTTTTAATCTGGAATAATATCTACGGGATATTCACGACAAAATGGACGAATGATTCACATTCTATTATTTCTATTGACTCGGTGTGCGTCACGATTTTGCATCAATCTACAATATAATTTTATAATAAAAATATCACGCGTGACGAAAAAATTTCATATTCATTCGAAAAGATAAAACGAAGTGATAATGTGTCGAAATCTGCGTCGAAAATGTTTGGTGCAAACGGTGAAAATATATATTTATACACGGAAGGCTTATCGACAAGTATCGTTGGTTTAAATGCTTAAAAATAACATACTCGTTCAATATTTAGATGCAATTTATTCAGATATTGTCGAAGATTATCGAAGATTATTAATGAAACATCAAGAGAATTAAAAAATGCCATAATATTTAACGATCATTTTATATAACATTTGATAATACATTTATTTTAAAAAAATGATACATTGATTGTACATCAAATAAGACAAATAAGAGAAAAATATTGATAGATCAAAACTCCATTTTGAAAAATGTTTATCATCTCGAAACATCGTATGATGAATAAAAAATTAAAATAGCTTTCAAGAATAAACGTTATTTCGAATCGTAAACATACATAAATGAATCATCGTGTTTTAATATGACAAAATTTGTCACCCGTTATATTTCACATAATACGTAAAAACTAATCGCCCAATATAATAGTTTTCATATATGTTTACATACAAATCGTACGATAAGCTTCTGTTCACGCGCGTATCAGTAAAGTTCGAATTGACACTGGTTTGACTCATTGCTAACAGGAAATCCATATCGCGAAATCCCGGGTCATCGAGTTATCGCGAGAAAACCTACTCCCGCAAATACGTCACCGGCCGCATCAATAAGAATTGATTGCCCGCTATCGCAATATTTATTTAGGCCATATCGAAAACAAACATCGACATACATCACATTGGTTGGAACCGTGTTATAACCGTGGAGGAAAAACCGTAGTATGGGTCAGTGCATGCCCGATTGCAGAATCCATTGTTGCTCGCGATCGTTCATCGAAGAAATTCCATTAAACTAGTATTCGCGTACAAACTATATACCTTTTCCATCGATATTAAGTTTAATTTCATTTATTAGTTTTTATTGAAGTGAAGTTTGGCATCGAACTTTGTACTTTTGTGCCGATAATTCAACGTGTTGAAAAATTTTTTGACTCGATGCGTGTGTGTGTGTGTGTGTTCTTATAAAAATAGAGTACGGTTGCAACAACTGATTACCAATAATAATAATAATAATTTCTAGATAAAAGTGAAAGATTGATATGTTTGAAAACAGTAATCCGTTACGATATAGTATTAATAGTTGTTATCGATTTGTTTATAGAAGAAGATGAGCGCGAAGATCAAGGTAAGGATGAATTAAAACGTAATGAAAATTATAAAATTGCAAAAGCGATATTCCCTCAAACTTCACACTACTCGACTCTTCGATCCATCTTTTCGTCACTTTATCCACCAATCTCGTGCAACGTTGCTCGTAGAAAAAAAAAAACGATACCAATTATTAGGCAACCATAACCACGCGTGCATAAATCTCATTTCACCAGTTCTCCTCTCTCTCTCTCGCGGCCGAATCTAATCGGCCATAAATCAATCGAGATCCAGGCGAGAACACGCGACGTTAATCGACTCTAAACGTTACCGAACGCATACCGGCGACGACACGAAACGAGAACCCG